TCAGCTCTATAATGTGGTAGAAGATTATTAAAAGATACGAATACTAGAAGGTTAAGAAACACTGAGAGCCATTTTGGAGGCTATTTAAAATAAAGTGGGATTACCAAGTTTTCTTTCAGGGTATAAGGAAAACCTTGCATTTTGAGTATGAGACCCCTTTTTATTAGTGCCAGAAAGTTATCTGGGGTACCATTTCCCTTCTCAGGTCTCAGTGCCTATTCCAAGTATCTTCAGAAGAAGCTGCCACTTTATGTAGAGAACTGTAGTTGTGGCCTTCAGTTGGGATAAATGGAACTGCTGCTGAATATCCCAAATTAGAGATTGGTAAAGTCCTTTATCATTCATTTTCCTCATCTCTTTTATGATTGTTGTCCTACTACTTTAGATCTTATGGTTATTCTGGAGTTCTGAGAAAACTTGGATGTTACAGAAATCTTTTAGAAATAGTGGGTTATAATGTCCTTTGTGTAGCCAGTGTACTTTATATCTTAGAGTTTTTCAATGTTTTGGTTATCTCATCTTTTTAGTTTTCCTGATGGCATAGATTTGTTCTTTTCATTGTTTTTTTCTGTAACATTGGTGACATTTTTGAAGGAAGTCAAGGTAAACTGATGTGCTCAGTCACCTTTCTTGTAAGAATTAGGAAATTAATTGGTCGAATGTATTTGAACTTTTTTCAGGTAGAAGAATGAGTTAGTTCTCCCTGTAGCCAGTTAATAGGACTGGTGCTTTTGTTTATTTTGGGGAGTTTTGTTTCAGTGAGGGTGGTTTTATTGTTGTTTTCCTTACTTTAGTTGTTAGAGAATAGCAGTTTTTTCAGAACAGAGCATGGTGTTTACATAAGAGCTGTATAAAGAGAATGGTGTTTACATAAGAGCTGTGTAAAGAATGACATCAGTATAGGTAACAGTATATTTGAACCTGTCTGTTCACAATTGATCATAAGTTAACCTTGGTCGGATTGGGGTGGTTTGCAGAGAAGGGTAGGTATATTGCACCTGAGTACTTAACCTGAATCTGACTGTAATTGGATCTGCGACTAATTTTGTGTCTCAGTGTTTTTATATGTGAAAATGAAGGAGTTAAGTTTGATGATGTAAAAATAAGTGAGTCTATAACTTTAATAAAGACACTTGATGAATAGCTATTTTGCAGTACAAGGAATAATGTAAGTTACTGAAAATTCTGGTTTGGAGTCTCAAAAAAATTAAGTTTTCCTATGTATTGTATAATACTGTATAAGAAAAAATTCAAAGCTGTCTTTTTATAACAAAAAATATATATAAATATGTATACGTTATATATATGTTTTTGGCAATCTCTCCCTTTTAAAAAAATCCAGCTCTTTGTAGAGATCTTATTACAGTATAAATGTTTGAACTGAGATTTTTCAACTGTCACGGCAAAGTTATCTAAGCATGTTGATGGGGAGGTAAGGGGTATTTATGCATTAGTATTATTAGACACAATGGGAGAATATAATCTCAGGCCTAGTACTCAGATTGTAATGATTTGGTCTTCTTATGTTTTCTGCATAAGTTGAAGAGTCTCATTAGAAACAACAAACTGTTCTTAAAGTTTTTAGGGTAAATTACGAGATTTCAGGTTTATATGGGATAATTTCTAAAAATTCTCAAATGGTTTCTTTCTAAGGCAGTATTTTCAGTTTTTTTCCTTCTAAAAGTAGTTTAATTAATGTTTGCTAATTGATATATTGGGGTTGTAGCATATAATATTTACATTTATATGAATTCAACTGTGAGCATGTCCAGGGGAAAAAATTAAATAGTGGGAAGGAGTCTATTCATTATTATTCTTAAATAAACATATGCCCTGGAGTAACTTTATGAGTATAAAGTATACTCATATATTAAAAAAAAAAAAAAAAAAATACGTGCTCTCTTCTTACTCACTGACTTTAGTGCCCAGGTCTTAAATATTGGGTCCTATGTATTATACCTTCATCCATCCAAAAAAAAAAAAAAAATGCTGTTTTCATTGATTCACATCTTTGTTGCCTTTATATTGTTTATTCATCCAAGTAAACACATGAGCTTTGAATCACAGCCTTCATTCCTCTTCCTGTTCAGCATATTTCTAGTCAAATTCCATGTGCTCAGAGACTACAGAGTACTGTTGGCTAGTACAACATTTAAGATGTAGTTATGAGATAAATCAGTGCCAGTGAAAAGATACAAAACATTTCAAAAGATAAAAGGATTTCTAGATTATTTGCAAATGTGTGTTGAGAAATGAATATATTTTAAATGTGTATTTTAAAGAAGTTCTCTCAATATTTTTTATTGTTTTACACTAATACAAAATTGATACTTACGGACTACATCATGGGATGTTTCATGGTCAGTAGTTACAGATCTTGTAGTAACTTATAAATAAGTGCCTTTTTTTACCTGAAGATTTTGTGTCATTAACGATTTTCCTATTGATACTGTTTATTTTGTTGACATTGATCCACTATTGTTAACTAAAAACAACTCTGTGGGCATATTCATTAATGTTGGGATTCTAATAGGTACTTTACAAAGTAAATACATTTACTAAGAGATGTATATTTGTATATATCCGTGCACATATATGTATGTACATATGTGTGTATATATAAGCATATGTGTGTGGGTATGGCTCCACGTATATATGTGGTTCCAAATCGCTATGTAGTATTGAAAACTAAGATGTAAGAGACAACATGACTTTTTTGGAGAATTACAAACTTTTTAGTATGAATTATTTGGTCAGTTTTGAGTATTAGACATTACAAATTTTATAAAATATTAGATATTATAAAATAACAATGAAGAAAATAGCGTGTCATTATATAATTGGACTAAAGATGCTTAAACTTTGGATTCATTGGATCTGAGTGAGTTTCTAAGTAAATTGTGTCCCTTCTATATTCACTGGGAACAAACGGAGAGAAAAAAAGATTTTTATACAGTTGTTGGGAGTTACTAGGTACTCCACTGTGGACAAGTTTATCTAGCACTCATGTAAAAAAAGCAATTACTTGGGATTACTCTTCAACTCTGGGGAGCTCAAGGAAGCATCTCACCAGATACTCGGCCCCAACTTGACTTAACTAAAGCCACATAATTTTATAGACAACATTCCCACCTAATCTTTTTAGGAAGTACTAAGAATATGTTTGCTATAAACCCAGAATTTATACCTGTTTTGTCCCTTATTTGTCCCACCTTCAGCCTTTTAATTCCATTTTAATCTTTCTCTTGCTACAAACACTCCAGCTGACAAGAGATAAATGTGGAAACTAATTCTAGCTGACTGAAAAACAGCTTAAATATATTCTTACCTCAGTTTCATTTCAAAGAATAATAACAAAACGTGGAAACCACCCACAGATTTGTCCTAAAATATCTTTCGTTTTACATTTTGACTGTTTATCCAATCATCATCATTTTTGTAACTGAAGAGAGGCAAAGTTCTAATGTTTTGTCCATTCTTACTGTTCTTCAAAAAATGTCAGCCATACTGAGTTAGACATTAAGTAAATAGTAGTAGAATTTGTATTTTTGCTTTTACCTACTTTAAACAAAGGCATATGATATATAGTATATATATTTTTAATTATTACTATGTTATATTAGTCACCGTACAGTACATCATTAGTTTTTGATGTAGTGTTCCATGATTCATTGTTTGCATGTATCACCCAGTACTCCATGCAACACGTGCCCTCCTTAATAGCAGTCTCTGGGCTAACCTATCATCCCTCCATCCCCCTCCCCCCTAAAACCCTTAGTTTGTTTCCCAGAGTTCATAGTCTCTCATGGTTCATCTTCCCCTATATATTCTTTTCTTTAGTCATCAGAGGGAGATCTTTTTTTATTTTACCAAAAGTTCTTGTCATGAAGTCATACTCCTCTGTGCTGGAACTTTAGGGTTTTGTCCAAAAGAGGGCTTTTGAAAAAATAATGATAATTTGTATGTTCTTCATTTTCAATCTCATCCACCAGTTTTACACAAATTTTGGAGGAATTCTATTAGTAAATTTCATCTTTTCTCATGTAAATTACTAGTTTTCCAAACTGATTGGAAAGTTGTTTTTATATTTTTAACAAATGGACATAATAAAGCCTATTTATGTTTTTTATAGGAATATATGTTATAAAGTCCTCTTTGTAAGTTTTAAGTGCCTACACATGAGAATTTTTCATAGGTAACACATCATTTTCAACACAAAATTAGAGATAAAAACGTTTTCAAAAATGCTCTCTCCCTAGCACAAGTTTCTTTCAAAAATTAGTTTCTTCCCTACCTTTATTTTAAAGTTCTACATAGAGAATTTTTGTTCTTTCTTCTTTCTTTCTTTCTTTGCTAAGCAATATGCTTTGGACAGGCGGCCACTTTTCACTCCAGGAAGAATCCACAATTTTTTGGAATGTCTGAATTATTTCACTTTCTTTTAAAACGTCATAATGCCTTTAAGTTCAAGGTAGCTAAATTCATTAATTCCACCCAACTGGGCCCATAGGCCTGTGTTGTATAGTAATAAGCTGAACATGAATAAACATGTGATGGTGCCACTTGTAACCCCTTTTGTTTACTTACCTCCCACTCTTTCCTTAGGGCTCCCAGGTTGCTATTAGTGACATGACTTGACTTGCTAATGGAGAGATCACATGAAGATACTAATGTCAATTTATATGTTAAATATTATCTAAGTTTAATGTAATTCTTATTTTTTAGGTAAATATTTTAAGTAAATGCCTTGAAATGCTTGTTTTACCTGAGAGGATTATTTTGCACCAGCTAGTTTGGAGCTTGTTCATCTGTATGTAGGGCAGGAAAAATTCTTTGTTGTAACTTTGACCTACTTGGACAACTTCAAGTAAATAAGACCTATTCTCACCTGTTTTCTCTTGTAAATGCTTTCTTTTCGTTTCTTTGGTTTATAGTTTCTGTTCATATTACTATTTATAGGCTTCATTAATTTTTTTTCTTCTTACATTGTCACCTTGCAGACTCTTCCCTTGAAATCGAAGTGTTGGTCCTTGAACAACATGAGGATTGGGACATACTTTTTTTGGTATGTCTTGATATTTTCTACTTAAAAACTGTCATTTGAAACTAATAATTTAGTAGCTCTGGAAGTCACATTTTCCCATTCTGCAGGGTTTGTTGCTTTTTTGTCTTGGTTTATTATTTTACTTTTTTAATTGTTGTAGTCTGTCTCTATGCCAAAGATCAGCCTGAGGTATAAAATTAAAGCCTCTCAGGTGTATGTGAGCCTGTACCTTGCCCTGGGCGTGCATCATGACTTTTTAATTCCCCTCATTTTATGCAGTTTCTTTTGAATATCCTAATCTGTAATCTCTGGCTCCCAAAAAGAGGAAGAGTAATGGCACCTAGGTGGCTTAGTCGGTTAATTGGCAGACTCTTAGGCTCAGGTAATGATCTCAGGGCTGTGAGATCAAGCCCCATGTAGGATTCAGCACTGGGCTCAGTGCTCTGTGTGGAACCTTCATAAGATTCTTTCTCCCTATGACATCTTCACCCCCCGACCTCCTCACCCCTACCCCTGCACGCCCAGAAGCACATTATCTCAAAAAAAAGAAAAAAGAAAATAAAAGAAAAGGAACAAAAAAATGAAGAGTAAATGAAGGGAGGGAAAAGGGGCATTGGCCTTTTAAATCCCATGAAAGTTATGTCTCAGAAGGAAGAGGGACTTCAACAATAAGAGGAAATGGACTCATATAGCAGCAATGGCCACGGTCGCCAAACTGTGGAAAGAACCAAGATGCCCTTCAACGGACGAATGGATAAGGAAGATGTGGTCCATATACACTATGGAGTATTATGCCTCTATCAGAAAGGATGAATACCCAGCTTTTGTAGCAACATGGACGGGACTGGAAGAGATTATGCTGAGTGAAATAAGTCAAGCAGAGAAAGTCAATTATCATATGGTTTCACTTATTTGTGGAGCATAACAAATAACATGGAGGACATGGGGAGATGGAGAGGAGAAGGGAGCTGAGGGAAATTGGAAGGGGAGGTGAACCATGAGAGACTATGGACCCTGAAAAACAACCTGAGGGTTTTGAAGGGGTGGGGGGTGGGAGGTTGGGGGAACCAGGTGGTGGATATTGGGGAGGGCACGTATTGCATGGAGCACTGGGTGTGGTGCAAAAACAATGAATACTGTTATGCTGAAAAGAAATTTAAAAAAAAAACACTCAAAAAAAAAAAAAGGAAATGGACTAACAATGGCAACCTGTCTGTTAATGTTTCTCTGAGATAAGAAGCCACAATCAGCACAAATCCTTGATATTTGGATCCTGTAGGATCTCTTTTACCCATTCTGTCACCACAAGCTGTGTGCAAGATCCTCCAGTAACAGGTTGATAGCTGCCTCCCATTGGACATGGTAGTGGGGGATGGGTGCTGCTACTGAGCAAAGAGCTGAAAATAACCAAAATTAATGGCAGTTTGATTTCCAAGCCTTCCTCTGGATATTACAAACTTTAAAGAGACTCTAGAGTTCCGAAATAGTTATATCACATTCTGTCCTGTACAATTGCTTTCTAATGGAGATAGATTCGTGGTGCTTCCTACTTTCCATAATCCATCTTCCCGTAATCCCTCTAGGACATTTCTTTTTTAATTATTTGTTTGTTTTACTAGATATTGCAAGGACAGGGATTATCTGATTTCCTTTTGCTCAGTGATTCTTATCCACACGACTCCTTACCAACTTTCCAAAGTTCATATGATAAACATGTATTGCTTTCTAATCTTAAAAAAAGTTTATTATTTTAAAAATACGGATGTTTATTAACATAAATTGTACAGGTACACATTTGGATTGTTACTCTTGCACATCTGGGATACTGACAGTTTTCTTTCAGAATGCATTCATCTGGTATTTTTATTCCCTTAAAGAAAAGTCCAGTGATAATTTTGATGGCTCCTTTGGCGTTTACAGGGTGTTTTGGTGTTTTTTCACACCACTTCAGACTAACAGAACACTGCATTGGGTATCACTAAAAGCAACACCTGCTGCTTATATGTAAGTTGTGTGATCTTGGCAGGTTTTTTAAAAATCTCTGCCTAATTTCTACTCTTATAAAAAGTAGCCTATGCGTTCTTTGAAGCCCTTTTCTTTACTAAATCCGTGAGTTTATCCCTTGTTTTATACTTCTACTGCCTTTTCTATTTATATCTTTTCTTTTTTATATTCATATATCTTATTTCCAGCCAGACTTTAAGCTTTTGATGATAGAAGCCAACTTTAATATTCATCTTTCCCATAGTGGTTTTCCCAAGGCCTTGTAATGAATACTGATTCACTAAATAGTTTGTTTAGTTGGGCATCTGGGTGGCTTAGTTGGTTAAGGGACTGCCTTCAGCTCAGGTCATGATCCTGGAGTCCTGGGATCGAGTGCCGCATCAGGCTCTTTGCTCAGCAGGGAGTCTGCTTCTCCCTTTGACCCTCCCCATCTCCTGCTCATGCTCTCTCTCTCTCTCAAATAAATAAAAATCTTTAAAAAAATAATAATTTGTTTAATTGAGTTGATTGAGAATCTTTGTTATCAGCTTTGTGCTCCTTGGTTTTCTCACTATCATACAAGGAGGCATTTCTACATTTATTTTATATAAATAAATATTTAATCTTTTTATAGATTGCATTTATCTTCTTTTTTATTTGTAATGTCATTCCTAGTAACAGTTAGTGTATAATGTGCTGAAACTATTCCTTTAAAAACAATGTCTGGAAACTGAAGCCATAAACTCATTTATATGTATACATAGACACACACATATATATGTCATCCATACACATAGATGTATGGAAATTCACACATATACACATGGAAATTGGAAAATATTCCAAATATATGTTGTATACCTGTCATTAATTTATTGGGCCAAGTAAGTCATGAAATATTATCACCATATAATATCACCAAAAAATTTATATCTAGTTTACACAGCTGACAAGTTGAGTGCCTAAAATTTGTGGCATGAAAGGACTTACAAATGATTTAAAACAACAGTATTATTTTGGTGAAGCTGTATGTTTTTTACTTTAAAATAATTATTAATTCAATAATTTATTGAGCAGTTTATTCTCAGGCGTAGGGGGTGGTTATCCAAAGCAAGTATCAGGGTGCCTGGTTGGCTCATTTGGTTAAGTGTCTGCCTTCAGCTCAGGTCATGATCCCAGGGTCCTGCTTCTCCCTCTCCCTCTGGCCCCCTAGTCATGCTTGCCTGTGCTCTCTGTGTTTCTGTAGTGCTTTCTCTCACAAATAAATAAGTAAAAATCTTAAAAAAAAAAAAAAAAACCAGTGTCATAATCTCTGCCTTTGTAAGATTTGATAATTCTAGATTCTTTAGGACAGTGATATTCAAAATCAGGTTTTATCTTATAATGTAGATGTTGTCTGCTGTTGCTAATCAGCTAGCTGAGAGATACTTTGTCAGTAGTCTAGACTTAAAACAGTACCTGACTTTTTGTTCAGGTTAGTGGTATATATGTACATATATACACACACATACCACTATACATTATACAGGTGTGTATGTGTGTGTATAATATATATGTATACATTATATGCGTGTGTGTGTATAAATATAGATATATAAAATGGAATATTACTCAGCCACAAAAAGAACAAGATCTTGTTATTTGCCACAGCATATATAGACCTAGAGGGCTTTATAGTAAGTGAAATCCAAGAAAGAAAAATACCAAATGGTTTCACTTATATGTAGAATCAAAAACAAAACAAAACAAATGAATAAAAACAACAACAACAAACAGAAACAGACCAAGAAATACAGAAAAACTGATGGTTGCCACAAGGAAAGGGTGTGGGAAGATGGACAAAATGGGTGAAGGGGAGTAGAAGGTATAGGCTTCTAGTTGCAGAATGTGTAAGTCACAGAGGTGAAAGGTACAGCATAGAGAGTATAGTCAGTGCTATGGTAATAGTGTATGGTGACAGGTGGTAGCTACACTTGTGAGCAGAGCATAGTGTATAAACTTATTAAATCATTATGTTTTACACTTGGAACTAATGTAATATAATGTACCAACCATAGTTCAATTAAAAAAAAATCTGATTTGAGGGGCTGTCCTAGGAGTCTATTCACGTTGATTGTCCCTGGATGGTTTGGTGTTTTGTTAGTCTGAAAGACAGTGATTAGAACCAGCCTAAGGTGAAGAGGTTAAGTTGGCTGTACATACCTAAGTTGGCTGTACATACCAGATAGATTTTTGTTTACCATCCCTAGGGTGGGGAAACACTTGACACCTGGTTGGATATTGAGCTCTATTTGGAAATACATTATTAGTGTCATTTGTTTCTTTTCTAGTTATTTTTTTTACAATTTAAGAGATTTTTCTAAATAATCACTTTTATTGTTAGCTAGAGTTAGTTTAAAATATATGATATAGGCACACCTAGGTGCCTCAATGGGTTAAGTGTCTGCCTTTGGCTCAGGTCATGATCCAGGGTCCTGTGATTGAGCCCCATGTGGGGCTCTCTGCTCAGCAGGGACTCTGCCTCTCACTCTCACTCTCCTCTGTGCTTGCTCTCTCTTTTTGTCTCTCTCTCAAATAAATTATAAAATAAAATATATAAGGTAGAGACAATGAAGAATATAGATGGAGGTTCTGAGTGAGGTTTGGAGTTATGAAGTCACTATGAGAAAACAGGAGCTCTAAGTGGTTGAAATCTCAGGAGCAGTAAAGGACATGCTTCATAAAATTTAGGAATTAATCAACATGTAGTTTTTAGAAAGCATAGAAATGGGTGATTATTGTGATAAATAAGCCACCTCATTTGGTAAGTGAAAACTGAATGTACACATGATTGTGTCTTAAATTCATTCATTTAGTTATCCTGCTTTGGTTAACATCTTCTTAAGAAGCCTAAAATTCCAAATATAAGTATGCTAAGTAGTGGTCAATGAATATATTTTAGTACTTCACCTTTTAACATTTCTTCTTCAATTATAAGAATGTGAGTTGTAGAATTCATTGAAAATGTATGAACAGGCAGCTTCATGTGCCATATATCT